TTTTCTTTCAACTATGTCTTCGATTTAACAAAAGCAAATATGAGTATAAAACAAATCAATAATAATTAGAAGGTCTGATATTCATCCTTGCGTTGCGTTTTCTTTCACCTCAGTTTTCTTTCATGATTGAGAGGATCACCACCGCGGTATGTGGTTGGCAAGAGCCGAAATATTTGTGATATATATGATTAATATAGAAAATAAAAAAATAAAACCCTGATGAAAACCTTGAAGTTAATATATGTATCCAGTTACCACTATGGCTATGGTATACAGAAATTTCATTGAATATACCGCGGAATCATGCGGCTTTTCTCAACCATCAAAAGAAAAAAATAAAATTTATTTTCTCATCACGCTTCATTAATCCAATTGTAAACTTATTAGTATAAAACATGATCAGGCAACAGAGAAGTTCACATTCGACATTCTTCATACTGACTAAAGAAGTAAGTCCGAAAAAAAACCCAAAATGGCTGGTTTCGACGTAACACGAGCAATCTTCAATCAAGCAGATACCAACAGAGACGGAGCAATCGATCAAAGTGAATTCCAACAATGGAGTAGTGGAGCTGGTGCTAGCCTAGGAGGAGGCTATGGTGGATCATCTAGTTATGAATCATCCTCATATAGCAGCGGTGGAGATGCTGGTGCTTATGGAGCTGGCGTAAACTATTCATATAATATGTGTCAACATTCTTAACATTAACGCACGCTAAACAAAGTGGAAGGCGTGATTTTGAATGAGACCTCGCCGGTTTAGGTGCAGCTGGTTATTCAGGCTATGAATCATCTTATTCAAGTGGAGCTGGATATGCTGGAGATGCCGGTTATGCAGGCGGTTATGATAGTTCAGCTGCATATGGAGTTAGTGGTGGTTATGGTGGAAGTTATGGAGCTGAGAGTGCTTCAGCATACGGTATAAGTGGAGGATATGAAGCCGGGAGCGCCGGAGTAGTGAGCGGTGGCTGGGCAACAGATGCTCAAGGCTTGTATCAAGATTCAAATCCACAAATCATTCGACGACCAGCACCAGGTGGAGGAGTGACATACAAACAAAATATTCTCGTAAAATTCTTACAACCACCACCAGTCCCACCTCCAGGCGTAAGTTTCTTTTACTTTTTACTATTGTAATTATCATACTCGATAGATTTTGACGAGAAGACTATTCAAAATTAGGACAGGCGCTTAAACAAATGCATTTCACGCAGTCAGCATATTTCTTCAATTAACATGTAAAACGTTTTCATTTCGTATGAAAACATACGTGATAAAAATCTCCGAGTAACGTTTCCATATGTAACAGTAGTGTGTGTTTTACGAATGATATCGTTTCGTTTCTAGCCACTCATCATCAGAGAAGTTAGACCACCACAGCCACCACCGCCACCCCCGCTCCGCATCAGACAACAAGCTCCACCTCGTCCAGCACCGTAAGAAACATTCTGCTAATTACGATATTGAGTAATCATTTTCAACTAACTGATGATTTGTTTTCCAGTCCCCCACTAGTTCTTCGTGAACGACCGCCAGTGCCACCTCAAGTAATCCAAAGTCAAACAGTCATTCGTCGTTTGGCTGGAATACCAGTACCACCACGCTCAGTTATCATCGAACGTCTTCCACCTCTTCCACCAAGACCACGTAAGTCTTATATATGTTTGCTTTTCCTCTAGGTTTATAAACGCTCATTGTCATTTCTAGGTGATATCGTCATTGAAAGATGGATCCCATACGGACGTCAAGCTAAACGTCGCGTCATTGTTCAACGGGCTGCTGCCGCTAGACAATACGCACGACCAAGAAATATCATCATCCAATATGAACCAATTCAAGCTCGTGTTGTAAGACAATTTCAACGACTTGGGGTTCAAGCAGAAAATCCACACTCCTATGTTGCACGATATGGTGTTACGCTTAGAGATGCCCAGACTTTGTTACAAGAAGCGAGACAAGCAGGTGTGGTCGAAGATATCTCACCACCAAACCTCGGCGGTGCTGGATTTGCAGGTGCTGGTGCTGCTTATTATGGTCAAGAGTCTGCTTCATTTGGTGGTGCAGCTGGTGGTTATGGCTTAGATGCTTCAGCATCTGGTTTTGATTTAGGAGGCGCAGGAGGTAAGCATTTTGATGATTAACGAGCTGAAAAACGACTGAAGCTTAGGGGTCAGGAGATAACTAATTTATACTACTTTTTAGGCTATTCTGCATCTGCATACAGCTCACAAAGTGAATTCGAAGGTGGCAGTGCTGGTGGTTTGGAAGCAGGTTATGTCTCTGGAGGTCTAGGTGGTCAATATTCAAGTTCGTCATTCGAATCATCATCTTACGGTGGCGATCTCGCTGGTGCAGGTGGTGCAGGTGGTGCAGGTGGATTTGATTTCGCAAGCGCAGCTTTCCGTGCAGCTGACAGTAACAATGACGGCTCAATAGATCAAGAAGAATTTCGTCGATTTGCTCAAAGTGGTTTATAATAAATCTAGTCAATAACTTTAAGATGATCCTCAGAAATATAGGACAAATTTAAAAAAACACGGCTAGGGGAACATAAACAGGCAATCAACATGATCAAGACTCTTTTCGTGTTCGCTGCATCTTCGCTTTCTTATTCAGTTGTTTTTCGTTTATTTTTTGTTTATGATTGCTTTTTTTATTGCATCGTACCCCTACGATAGAATAAACTCTAGTTAGTCATTATTTTCAGTTCATATGCCAGCAATAATGTAGAAATGGGCAGCCTAATTACTGTTGTAAAATATTTCCAGATAATCAAAAACTGCATAGCTATTACGCAGAACTTGCAAAGATGTCTTAATGAACTGAATAAGCCACTATACATGATTAGATGTAACGTGAGAATTCATTTGATTCAGCTGATTCTATTGCTACAATTCCAGTGTATGTTAGATCGAAAAGTGATCAAAGTAAATTATTTTATACTGAATATACATGAACCGTTAAATTCATTTTTGAAAGAATGAGGACTTACTGGAGTTGATAAAACTACGTCAACTGACACAATAACCGCAAAAAATAAGCTGTGCTGAGATGCAGCGTATATATTTCGCATGCAACACTCTGTAATGCCTCTTCGAATTCACCTATGTTCCGTATTTCACTCTAATTTTCACAAGCTCCCTAGAATTGTCAAAAAAGTGACTTAAAGAATAAGACAGAGTTTGATACTTCCCGAAACAGAACTTGATCTTTGTTAACTTGACTTTCTGCGAAAAACTTCAAAAACTACACCGGGGCTGCAGATACATCAACTCCTTCACAAACATGATCCGACTTGTCCGCGAATCGAAACGTCCCTTTGTCGAGGCTTTGCAAAAAAAATCGAGAACTAAGTACATACCGAGAGAATTCAGATTTTAGCGATTAAGCGAACACGTTCGAGCATGCATGATAGTACTATCTTTCACATCAGACTACCTTTTGCATTTACTCTCATGCTGCTGCCTCTGCTACAGTCTGTCATGTTTATCTAATGAAGAAGTTTCAATTCGCGCGGCGGAAAAATCCTTGTTTTCCACATCCTCTCGTTTAGACATACTTAATGGTAAACATCTATGTACACGAAAGCAAAACAATGAATCGGTGAAAATTAGTTTTTCTGTCCCTAGCTCGCACTCAAACAATGTTGCCACGTGACGCAAACGATACGCCATTTCGAACTGTTCTATAAGATTCTACTTGTTCTCTGAACAAAATCTGACAATGAAGAACACTGTTTCACCTGTATCAGAAGCAAACAGACGCAGTCAACATTCTCATCACTTA